CAATGCCAGACTGGCTGCCCCCCTGGCTCACGCCGTGGGTACGCGTCCCGGACGAACTACGACTCGCGAGTCAACCTTTGAAAAGTGAGTCCATGTTTATGCGAAAATACCTCTATGATTGGCGAATTTTACGATTGCCGGGAACTACGAAAAGCGGGGGACCACTGTATATATGTTCACCTGCGCAGCGCCCTGAATATTTTGAGAATTTTTTTTGTTTTTTATAGGAAAAAAGAGCAGGTGCTCCCCAATTTTTTTCATATGGCATACACTGAGTGTGCACACCCATTCTCTCATGTCTAGGGGACTCAGGCCTATCGTGCCAATGTTGAATGAATGACAAATGAAATGTATACATACGTTTGGGGCATTGTGCAAGAGAACATATATATATACGTTTGAACCGTTTAAGGGTTAAGAAAGAAGGTTTTTTAAGTTTTGATGTTCATGTATTAGCATATGTGATGTGAATGACTCATAAGATGATGAATGTAATTACAGTAATGAAATCCAAATTTTTTTTCCAGGTGCGGGAATGCGATACAGAGACAGCTATGATCCAGATATTATACAAATGGCCCCATTCTATCTTCTCCCCTCTGCTTTTCCCAGACGGGAATTTGACCGTGTAGTGAAGCTGCAGCCCCTCATCAATCTGCTGATGCACAATATTGCTCACGATGATGAGTTTTTAGAAAATTGTCTTAGAAAGTTGGTGTATTTTTTTGTGTTAATCTTTTATCATTTAAATTGAAATTTTTGTGGTTCATAGTCTCCTACAATATTGTCATGGAAATTGAAATTCACAATGGTATGATTGTTACACATAACAATCTAGGAGCACTCTATTGATTGAAATTGCAACTACTTGAAGATTAATTGTATTTGCTTTCAGTTGCACTATGGACAAGTGTAATGTTTCCAAAATTGAATAACATGTGCATAAAGGCCTCTCCAAGCACTATAAAGTTTTGGTGCACTTTTTCAGTCACATTTATAAAAATTACTCTTTATAGGGGATCATTATAAGAAAGCTATCTACTCAACCATATCACAGTTTCCTCTATCTTACAAGTCAGAATGTCATGCTACACATTTTTCCTTATTACACATACCATGTTATACTAGTGCCTTTAATAATGCACATGTTGCTCAACATGTCACTTTCTAGTTCATAATTTAACAGGTTATGTTTAGGACACTCCATAGGGATGAAGAGAATAATCCTTCTTCCATAAGCCATGCATGTCACAAGAGGTGACTAAAATGCCAGGAGCAGTGGGCTAGTAGCCCCATCTCCAGTATAAATTACTAAGTGTAAAAGGAAGAAAAAGTTTAGTTTTCTTCTGTTTTGGGTCACCCTGCCTTAGTGGGAAACAACCTTTGTGCTAACAAAAAATATTTAGGACAATGATATATGTATCGCTTGAAAACTCCCAAATAAAATTTATTTTAGACTATATAGAATCACAGTAGAGTATATTTTGTGTGTTATAATTAAAGAAACAAATTGATAAATATAATCCAGGAATGTGTAATGTTTCATATTTGATGATTTTTCAACAGAACCATTAGGGTTGATGACTTCACTGCAAGGCTTTGGAAAATATACACAACAGTGAGAGATGAGGGGATGACCCAGGTAAGAATGCTTGCGATGTTGGACCAGCCTTCTAACACAGTGCACTAAACAAACTCTTGTAATTCTATACCCTGCCATTTGATTATTTCTTGCTTATTCAGCTATTTCTTTTATAGTTTTTTCAGCTTATATAAGTGGATATAGAAGAATATATCTGACTGGGGTATTGTCAAATTCTGTACATTGATGAGAAATTGATATCTTTGAACTGAGGTATTGTCTGATATGTTGATGAGAAAGTAATAGTGCAGAACTGGGTTATTGTCTGATATGTTGATAAGAATAGTATAATAGAAGTGCACAAGTGCCTGCCCCAAATAGTTTGTCATGCATAGTAGAAGCAATTTCTTATTTTCACTGTGGCTTGTATCTAAATTTAATCCATGTTGGCATGTAGTTCTATAGATTGAAACATTTATCATACATGTATATGTAACACAACCCTAAAATTTTGAAATTGTAGGTTATCCACAGCTAATAATTAAATTGAAGTAGCTAAAAGAGAAGATGAATTAAGAATGAAGACAACAACATGTGTGAATCAATAAAGAAATTGATAAATGTGAAAGTAATGAGAAGAACTGTTAAACTGTAGGGTAGGTGAAACTAATGAGGAAGAGGTGGTGTTGGTGCTAAAATGAATGGTAATGAAAAGATGACTAGTGAAAAAAGATAACAAATACATGAAGAGAATAGTAAATTTGAATTAAATTAAATTTTAAATCGTTTATAATAAAAAATAATATATGATAAAACATTGGCCTTTTTAATACTGAACTTTTTAAATAACACAAAATGTCAAATTATCAAAAAGTCATTATGTAGAAGATAAATAATTATAAAACTGAAAGGTAAAGAGTACCTTGCCCATACACAGACTGATCTATTGATCAGATGGACTTGGGCTGCAGGTTTTGTTGACATCAATATACATACATAAAGAGAGGACGAGATTAAGAATGAGTAGGTAAAAAAAGAATGAATATCCCCGTAAGAGGAGTCATGAGGAGTAAATCAATAATTGTTGCTTGTACATCTGAGGTTGAGATGAGGATAATTTTACAGCATAACATCTGCATAGAACATTTTTAATGTTGCTCTTGTGTTTGTTTGGAGGACATTTTATACAAAAAGCCTCTATTTGAGTAGATGATACTGCACATGTACACAAGTAGATTTGCATATCATAAATATCATTTGCTTTTTATGTGAATATTATGGCAAACAGAATACATTGCCTCACATCAAGTAAAAAAAGAAATTACTGATGGATCCCTAACTCTCTTCAAGAAAAAAAATGTAAATTCTTGGTCAGCTGGGTTGTAATGCCTGCCTCAGACTGGGAGCTGTAAGCACCAACAGCCTGATTTTCCAGGCTACCAACTAGGTAATATGGTCAGAAACTTGGCCATTAGAGCAGTGGACCCAGGAAGTACTCAGAGGAAATGGTAAATGGACAAAAGAAAAAAAAAAGCCTTCTAGGAGGCAGGGGGTGACTCAATCCAAAAAACTGGAGCTACCTATTCCTTTCTTCCTTCAGATCAAATTTCATGTACCTATAATGATAACATCAGTATAAAATCTAGGCGAGATTAGTTTTATTTATATAACCTGTGGTGGTGAAGTACTGTATTGAAGTTGACTGTATAATTTTCTCAGTTTAAAAATGCAAAAATTTAATTAAGTTGTGTGATTTTTCATCCAGTTGAAAGTGTTAAGTTTCCTATTATAATATTTCAGTTTTAATTCCCTGTGGTATGATATGAATTACAAGGGGTTGAATTTGCTTACATAATTAGCAAGATTAATTGTGGCAATATTATCAATATGAGTCATACAGAAGTTTTCAATTTTTTTTATTGCTGTTGTTAAAACTTTTATTATATTGTATTAAAAAGAGTTGTCTTAAAAATTTTCTGATTTTTTCCTCACATTTTGAAGATAAGTAAGAACTGTTGGTCAGAGTTTTCAATTGAGTTTATAGTCAACAAATATAGCTTCATAAAGAAGAAAGAGAAATTAAATATTAATGATTTTTGTAATATTTGATTTTTGAGAAATACCTATTGAACTTAAAATAGATGATAATTAGCTTTATCATAATTAAATTCAGTATATTGATAATATTTCCTTCATTCTATTCATCATAAAATTCATCTAATATCCTTCAGTACCAGCCACGTGAGGAGACTGCTGCATGTCACTGGGGTGTTTTCAAATTTGGCACACTTCTTTTTTTCATTGGGGAATGTCCTGTTTTCTCTTGGACATTCCTCGCTAATGCCTTTGCACTTAGGAGTTGAGTTTGGGCTTGGTGCGGTCGGATGTAATGCTGACCAAATGCCATGCTGGGTGCTGCAAGCTATGCGAGACCCCGCCTTATGTCGCAGGGCACCAGGTGGAGGTCAACACCATCGCCTCAGGATTTGGCCACTTGGGACCAATTTCCGGGAGTATCAATAGGTACACGAAGGACATTACACAAATCACAGGGACTGCATTAGAGAGGACTTTTGTATAATCAAGAGCTGCCTGCAAATTAGTTTGGAGCAAGAAGTTGGAACAGCTGCAATTTCAACTCATAAACTTAATTATAACAAAATTCCTCTTTAAGGGGCGCATATCCCTGAACTGTTGCTTTTCAACCAATTTTGCTGATATTTTAATATTATAGCATGTTATAATACAATATGTCCTTACAAATAAATTTTCATTGCTGTCTGAGTGATTGTTTTAGAAATAAATCAGTTTACATAGTTCCATATTTTTTCACTATTTAAAATACGTAGTGTATATAGAATGAAGAGGGCTGTACCTTCAGGAATGCACTAATTCATATAACTTTTTAACTAATCAAAAGTTTCTCAATAATGTGGAGAAAATAAAATAAAAAAAACTTTAACCGGAATGGTATTGGCATGGATAAGTGCAAAGACAAAACTACCAAATCTGACATATTTTGAAAACTACCTCAAAGAGGAATGAAAGTTTTTATATAAGGATACAGTACATTGTAGCATGTTATACCATCTTTAAATACTGTATTAGAAAATTGGAAGCTAAAAACTCTTTGCTCTGTACAGGGAGGGTACTAAAATAAGAGATTTGAATATGCAGAAATTAATTTTTAAACAGTCTGACAAGGCCAAAATTCCAAAAGGTGTTGCCACCATAATTAGATTTTCTAATATTTTTTTTTTTTCCTGTTCAGGGCTATGCCTCCTTTAGCCTGTGAACTTGATAGATAGTTACCAAGTAGATTGTCATTCAGGTTGCAACTTTGTTTATTTTATAAGAATAATTTTAACATTTAAATTACAACCAAAAGCATAGCTTACAAATTAAATCTACATTACACATGTACGAATATCAATTGATACAAAGATACTCACTACTAATAATTAGTTTCATCAAATAACTATGCAAATAACTATCAAAAAGCTAAACATTCCATGGCTTCCCTAGGGCTTCCTCAGATCAGTTAATAAGAAACATAATGGTGACAAGTGTAGAGTAGTCTCTCTCTCCAAAGAAATGATCCAAAAGCAAAATCTATTTTCTAATAATTTTAAGAACTCTAAAGAGCTGACAATCCTCTCTCAAATCAACAACAACAACAACAAAAAAAAATTCCCTTCCAGAGCGAAGGAACATTCCCTCATCTACTGATACTGTGATTGAGGTTAAACAATTTCTTCTCTTCACTAGGAACTAATCTTGCAAACAGCATCCCAGATACCAATATAAACATCAGTAGATCTTTGACTGATATTTACCTAGGCTCCATCTATTTGTCTTCTACCACAACCTCTGAAATAGCATGCATCAATCAATTAAATTACTACAATAATCAGCTAGTATCATAGAAGTAATACCTTTCATTGTTTATAAGAAAGTTGTGCACACATGTGCTATCTTCACTTATTTCAATACTTTTCAATAAATCACTTGAATAACACATTCTTTCAGACTACCTCATAAAGGAAAAAGGATAATATTCATCCACATAGGTGGTACTCTAGCTAATATTAACAATTGCAGACCAGTATCTAATCTATAAACACTATCAAAAATTCTTGAGAATGTGATTCACAAGCAGCTGTACTTGTACTTATTGAAATATAATGTGCTCACTCCTTGTTATTTTGAATTCAGATCCCCAATAAAATATTAATGAAACTGTTACTTTTTTAAAAATTCATTACTTATAAGAAACAGATACACTATTGGACGTTTGATTGATCTGAATAATGCTTTTGATATGGTTGACCATAATATTATTCTTTATAAACTTAATCACCATAGACTCAGAGGACTCACATAAAACTATGTTAATTCCTACTTAACAAACAGACAATAGAATGTAGTCATAAATGGCATTTTCTCAACTACCCTGTCAGGACATTATATAGAGGGAAACCTAAATAAAATTTGAGAATAAATTTTGTCTGCAATTAGACATCAAAATTTATAAGTCTGAAATAGTGGAGTTAAGATGAGGGTGAGTTCCTAGGTCTGCTTGAAGATGATGCATTAAAATTTAATGCTCATATCGAGCTCATATCAAATAAGTACCGACAACTATTAGCGTCCTCTCCAAAATTCACCATTATGTTCCTTGTCTAAATTACTAACACACTGCTACTCTTTTATTTACTTATACCTCGCCTATAAAATTTGTGCGTGGGGTTCTAAATATTAACGCTATTCTTACTTCCTGCTGCTATTGCCACATCTTCAAAACACTACGCAGTAATGCTGATGGAGACCTCACACACTTTCTGCAAGACTGTAACACAATACACAGGCCTTACACTTAAAACAAATACAGCACCTCTTTCCTATTACTCATATTTACCTGAACCTTTACTGAAACTCAATGCAAATTAAAGGGCCATAAATGGGAATTAACTTGGCAGATGAATGGAAAAATTGTTACATAGTGAATTTTAACAAAAAATTTTGAAATTTTTGTGTGCATACTGTATTTCCTTGAAACAATTCTAATGTAACTCCTTAAATTGCTATTAAACTGTTATGCCCAAATATTAAATTCCACCATTTTCCTTATTTTTTTATTACAATAATTTCTCTAACAATTATTACTTCATTATTTCTTAATCTCATAAGTGCTTAATTTTTCACTAAAATTTGAATTACAGTGCCATAAAATATTATGTTTTTAGTTTGTCCAACATTTATATGTGTTGCCCAATGTGAATTAATATTTTTATTTTATTAGTATTAACCCTAGCTTAAGACTGCCCAAAATGCTATGCATAACTAGGTATTTTCTTATGAACACGTGCCATAACTTACTATTCTAACTCTTAAGCTGTCTTCTTGAGAAACAGTTATCATCATTGCTTCTACATTTAGAATATACAGTAGTCCCTCCTGTATCTGTGGATACATTCCAAGTCCTACTGTGGATATCTGAAAGTATGGATGATAGAGAATCTTTAATATATATCT